GTTCATAAACATGCATACACTTAGCTATTGATTGCAGTTAAGCTGGAGTAATTTGAAAAACCAGCCAACGAATTAAGACAATTTTTTCGTCTTCCCATTTTTCAATACACATTCAACGGGAATTACTTGATGCTGAAACATTTTTGCTGCCCATTTATTGCAATGGATTTAACATTTATTCAGAATCCACAAACATCATAATTTGTGTCGTTCACAAAAATATATGATTTGCCCATTATACGAGTAAAGTGTAATGCCTTTATTTAGGTCAAATGGAGGAATTAATCTATCATTAATTAGTCAATAATTGATGAATAACTAAATAACATAACTCTCTCCACTGATATCGAAGTTTTTAAAGGAGTGGCATTCCCTTCCTACATGGCGTTTACAAGACAATATGTGCTGCGTAACGTGACAGCGGAGGAATGCGTAACGCGACGCGGGGAAATTACGGTCTCTATAACGACAATACGAACAACTGAGGGACGTCAGAACCTCAACTTACGCCACTAATTAGCAACTGTTATCTTATTTCAAAACACTCAGAGAAATAAGATCAGTTATGGCCTACCTGTAATGCACATTAATTGAGCCTACGGTAACGTTATCCTGACGCCAGTTTGGCCCGAAAAAAATAGCCTATTAGTTAGTGCTATACGTGCAAAAACTGTGTTATAATTTGGACAATCTAACCCATTCACATCTCTGAGTGCACAACTTCAATAGCACAGACGAACAATATAGGGCAGGAACGGTGTTTTGATCTCTGCACTACAATAACATGGCTCACATTTTGATGGATATATGAGCTATAGTTCCTATAGTAAAATATACAAAAAGAAGAAGCTACAGCAAGTAAGACGCATCAAAAAGATTAAATGTATGGCGTGACACTCATGATCAAGTTGGAAACAATAAAAGATAAGAAGACTGGTTTTAGATGAACGCTCCATTTCTCCGGTAAACTAATTATGATTTAAAAACCATACCTTGGAATAAAAAAAAATTGCCCTTAAATAACCAGGATAAGAAAATTTGTATCGCCTCATTATGAAGAGGAATACCAGCAGCCAATGGTCATAAGACAATACAAGTGAACCTAGTATATTAAATGAACGACCAAGACTCAGATGCCTGCAGTAGTGAGGCAGTTGCACTAACAAATGGTTTGGATGAGTCATGGCGCTTCCGCTAGCAGCGTCTATATAGTGCACCACACGCGGGACTACGTCGAGCAGCGCGTACTGTGTCGAGACGTGGCAAGTAGACTCGCTTCTCGCCACCATCACCACACGCGGGACTCCGTCGAGCAGCGCGCACTGTGTCGAGACGTGGCAATCTCTTATACACATCTAGATGTGTATAAGAGACAGGAGATGTGTTACTTGGGTTGGAGATGTGTTACTTGGGTTGGAGATGTGTTAATTGGGTTGATAAATTGTTCCTTGGGTTGGGTGTGTGTGTATAGGATTGCAGATGTGTGCTCTTCTTATTACTGAGTGCAGATCGTCATTATAGCTGCAGATGTATGTATGAGCAAACGCTGTTGAAATTTCACTTGGGCATGGAAAAACACCACATTTCGGTACAGTAAAGTTGAGAAATCAGTTGAAAATTTGCATGCAGTTCAGTTGAAAATTTGCATTTACACTTCCCTTCATTCTACCAAGACACAAAGTTTACCAGGTTCTACAATTTATTTAATGCTTTTTACTTCATGGGTCATTTTTGGAATTACAGGAATCTATTTTGAAATTTGGAAATACGTTTACAAAAAAAAAAGCGAATAGATGTAGGTTCAAGATGGGACGACTCAAGACTGTAGTCGGAAAGAGCAGACCGGCGCACGAAGAAGCAGGGAAACCAGTTCGAACATTTCTAGGAAGGCGGCAGTCCTGTAGCGGGACACCAGCACGCCGACGCCACATGAACTATTTCCGATGTCTGTAAAAACGACGCTTTCGACATAGCTTAAGCATGATGAATTTTTGAGGGATGAAGAAGGCAGCGTTGAGAAGCACATTGCACAATTAATACGCGCGTAAAAATTTTGTGTAAAATTATATTGTTCAAATAGTCGGTGTATTGTTGAATAAAGTCGAATGATGGCGTTGAATAGTTAAATGAAGTACAATGTTTAAGGATGAGTGCCAAATATTGTCATGCACGGCGCAAACGAAACAGAAAGAAACGTCTCCTGGAACGTCACAAGAATCTGCTATGAAAAATTAACAGAAAACGCACGAGAGACAAAGTCAAGGATCTACAAACTTCACTCAGAAAAATGACTGCGTCATGTTGGCCAAATAGTGTACACAGTTTCGTACACACAATTCAAGCATGGAGCACACGTAGAACTGGTACGCCCTTTTGCCTCATCAAACTGGTTCAGGATGACCCATACACAAGAGCCTTTCGGACAAAGTCTTACACATTTCTCTCAGTGTTATTATGCATGTATATCAACGAGTCCACCAGTCACAATGACTCACTACTCTCACAATTGAGCAACGTTTGTCATAGAAATGCGTGGAGTCACCATACGTAGCCGTAATGAAAGAAACTTACACACTTTCTAAGAAAGATTCCTCACCATCCAATAGAGCTCTAATATCATCGGTTGTGATGAACTGAACTACATGGAATCTCATTATTTTATTACAAGATATTGAAGAAAACGTCTTCAGAGTCGTGCATGCATATACCTACTGAGCTTTCAAATGTGTCCTATTTCCACACGAGATTCTAACGCGCATTTCGTTGCACGGCAGCAAGGCGTGCATTGAAGTAGTATTCTTACGCTTGCTGCAGCTGCAGCAATGCCAACAGCAACAAAGGATGTTGTAGCAGCAGCAGCAGCAGCACACGTGCAAGGTGCATCAACAGCATCAAATACAGTAGCCGGAGCATCAGCATCAAGTACAGGAGCTAAACCAGCAGCATCAGGTGCATCAGCAGAAAGAATAGCCGCAAAAGCATCAGATAAATCAGCAGCTGACACAGCATCAGCAGCAGCAAGGCAACCGCGACCAGCACCGGAGCAGACAGAGTTCAGAGGTTGGCGCTCGTGGCGCCGGCACACCCAACGAGTTGAACAACACAGGCGCGCAGACGAGTTGAACAACACAACAGCTCGACAACAAACGTGACTAGACGCCATAACGGGCGTGACGAGGACCGTTTCTTGCGTCACCGCTTCGTCTTCCGTCACGCAGCAGCACAGCAGCAGTGTCTCGCGTCTCACCAGAGCACCACTCACTTCTCCATGTGGTGCCATGAATATGGCACTATACCACGAACATCTTACATTTCCATATACACTGTTAGAAAAATTACCGTTAACGGTATTACCGGCGTTTCAGTGGCCGGTGGGCATGTGAAAAGAAACACCGCGTCGCCGTTTTTATTCTAATTTAACACGAGAAATCCGTAAAACATCTGATAAAAACGGCAAAACAGTTTATTTTCACGGGGCGACCGGCCACTAGAACGCCAGTGGGACCGTTTTTTCACCGTTTTTTTCTAATAGTGTACATCTCACCACACATCAACACTTGTATCGTAATGTCACGCAACAATCGACATACTGCCGCGCTCAGAAGGTGGCGCTACATGCAACTCATAAGCAGGCACGAGATGACTGCAAATAGATCATAAATTCAAAAAAGTGGCTTCACATCGTTTTAAAAGGGACTTCAGAGCGTTAAAAAAGTGGCATATCGTCGCTCTAAAATTATTTACTTATTTTTTTTTATTGTGGCTTCATTTCGCTCGTAAGAGGGCTTATGGCTTAAAAAGAAATCGAAAATTTGATTATTTTTACCAAGATGCAATTATTTTGTAGCGAGAGAATTGTGGATTGCGTTATTTATAACTTGATATATGTACGTCACCTGCGACCGCCATTGCATGAAAGCTGCACGTAACGTAAGCTCACGAAAAATACTAATAATAGTAATAATAATAATGAAAACGCTTTCATCGTCAGGAAACAAAAATACGCTCACAAGCACAAACGACGTCGGTTTCGTGATCTTCATCTAAAAGCATTTCGATGAAGATGCATGATCTTGCATCACATATAAGTGCTAGATGTTAAAAGTACATTTTGTATATATAATAATGCATGTACAAGAGAGAAAGGATACATTTTTCATTCAATATGGACCATGTTCATGTTCACAGCAATACACGGTCGCCACCGTACTCTCACTTACCTGCAAATGACTTCTGAGCCGCGCACGGCAGCGAGTTCTTCTATTTCGTCAATATCACACGATGACAGAATAATCTCGGCAATATTTACTTTTTATAACGAATTTTCGTAGTTTTTGCGTCACGAGCACTACTTAGCACTTTAGTCTTATTTTATTGTTAATTAAGCAGAGTCAAAAGTGAGGTCCTCTAAAATTTTCACTACAAATTTACACTGCATTCAACGTTAAATTTATTTATAAGATTTGAATGACATAATAATCCTTTCAAATATAATTAGAAATGGACTACTTACAATTTCTACTAATTAAAACTCGCAAGCAAGTAACAATGGTATTTAATAAAAGCAGATAATAGAAGCGAGTAGTAATAGGACATAATATGAGTGTAATTTTTTGTTGAAAGTACTTTAACCTAAGGGTTTCTACTCATGTATTGCGGTCTAACAAAGAGTTCCAATAGGACATAACACGAGTGGGTTCATCTCAAAAGAGGCTCAACATATGGATTTTACTAACGTTTTGCGGTCTTACAATGAGTACCAAAAAGACACAACATGAGTAAGTTCGTCTCAAAAGTGGGTACATATATGGGTTTTTACTCACGTTTTGCTGTGTAATTAACAATGATTTCCAAAAGAACATAATATGAGTAAGTTCATCTCAAAGTGGGTAAGATATGGGTTTACTACTCACGTCTTGCGGTTTAACAGCGAGTCCCAAAGGAACATAATATGAGTAAGTTCGTCTCAAAAGTGGGTCAAGATATGGATTTCTACTCACGTTTTGCGGTCGTTGGGCGAGGAGGTGACGAGCTCGTATATCTGCGCAGGGCCGCACTGCGTTGTGACGATGAAGAAGGCGCAGTTGTCTGCAGGCACAAGCATGCCAATATTTACTTCAGCTCTTATTAATGTTCCTATATAAGTTACAGTAATTGTACATTTTCATTTCTAACTGCATATGTAATAATGCCCTTTGTTTGCATATACAGTGGGGGGAAATAAATATTCGTACACTTGAAAAATCGTATTTTAATGTATGTAAGTACACAAACTTAACAGGAAAAGTGATTTAAATTATGTATAGAGACGCATAGTATTCAAAAATACTATCAAAAGAAATTAAATCTCAATGCAAAAATTTAAATCACTTTTCCTGTTAAGTTTGTGTACTTACATACATTAAAATACGATTTTTCAAGTGTACGAATATTTATTTCCCCCCACTATATAGTAATGCCTGCATAATGGCCTTTGTTTGTACTAAGGTCATTTCTAAATTTCAATTTCAAGTATTGCAAAACTCTTTGCCAATCTTAATGAACATTGCATATTGAAAACGTCGTAAAATCATAATAAAATGTCCTTGGAAACCTTATATCCGAATTTTCAAATCCTATCAAAAGTTTAATTCGCCAAATTAAGAAAAGTGATAGGACAGTTATTAATAAGAAATACTCTCTCTTTACTCTCTAGCAATAAGAATAACTCGCAAGGAAACTTGCATATAAGTTACAGTTCGTTAAGATCAGCTGACATGAGCATTGTCAAACAAGTCACAAGGCCTTTAGCACCATTCCCTAAGCGATTATATTCAAAGTAATTCTCACTGTTCATAAAGGTTCAGATTTTCTAGTACCGGTGTGATAGTAAGTATATCTAGCACATTTTAATTTCTAAAAGTAAATAAGCAACATTGTTTACTGTACGATATGTTCCTTGTTGCTTTTCATCATCTCTGAATTTAACTCCTCTATCAGTGCCTTCAAATATATCAATATTTATACTTCAAAATCATCGTAAAACTGACGACTATCATCTTCAAATATTTAGCCTTTAATTGAAATTCTTAATCATCGTAAAACTTACGACCATCACAAATCTGGCACAGTCAAATATTTTTGAGTATTCGTGGGGCAGCAAATTTTGGGCACACAATGAGAGCGGAAATTAGTTTGTCAACGAAGAGGCCGAGACATTTTCTCAGGAGAAAAATACTTTTTCTTCGCTCGTAAACAAAAACTGCCCAGCAGAAAATGTTTCTGATACTGTTGAGTTTATGAGGTCAAGAATCACAATGACTTTTTATAGCCCGGGCTAAATGACGGGTAACTATTAAATGGATTATTAATACGGGGAAAAAATCAAATAGACTGTTAATTAAGTGGATACTACTAAATAGACTGTTAATAAGAGGAATCTATTAAAATGACAGCTAATAAGGGGAATTATTAAATAGACTGCTGATAAGGGGAAACCATTAAATGGACTGTTATAAAGGGGAAACTATTAAATGGACTATTAATAAGGAGGAACTATTAAATAGACCTAATTATTATATTAAATAATAGTTATTTAATAATAACTATTTGAAGGACTAACCTGTTGCAACCGCTCTGTACAGAAACTGTTGGCCAAATGCGATGATTGGAGAATGTGACGCTTCCTCCTTAGGACAGTTCTTATTGCTGGAATAGTTCTTAAGGATGTATTTGTCAGAGTCCTTCTGAAGGAGGACAATAAACTGCTCGAGCACCAGCACCAGCAGTTCTAGGTTCTTCTGGCCTTTAGATAACCGCCATGTGAGGGGGCCTTCGTATATCAACCGATGCTTCGTCAGGTCCAAGTTCTGGTAAACGCGAGATAAAAATTAAAACAGTTTATTTCATGTTACGAAAATCATGCTCATTAAAGTCATGATTGGTAATTAGTTCTAATGATTCAAATGATTGCCTATTAGATAGTGCTTCGTCGGGTCCTATTTCTGGCAGAATGAAAAATGTACCTATATTTGATGACAATTAACTCCTTCGCCTGCTTCGTTAAAACGTTACAATTGTTGACAATTTCTGATAATCGTCAATCATTAATATTAGATCCATAACATAGTTTATATTCCGTTCATTATCACACATAAAAGTTACAGTAAAACACTATTGAAGCGCAAAGTGACGGATTAGCTACGTTGAAAGGGTTTAGGTGCCTGTTCAAACGACGATGTAGGAGATTTTAGCAAGTCAAGATGAAGTTCCGCCTAAGAAAATCAGCCAATTATAGATAAAAAATTATCGGGTGCGTAAGACCGGAGCAAATGAGCCTTGATGGTACCTCACCTAACCATTGCAGTATCAGACCATACAGAAATTCACAATTATATCACTAACTTCCATGACTGGATAAGTTGAAGTCATTGATTATTTTTTGCTGCCCTAGTAGTCTTAACAATCTTAGCAAGAAATCAAATTTATCGGCAAGAGTTCAAAGACTTAAATGATACACAACGGACCCACTTCTTCAGCCTAAGGAACTTGCATATTTTTAGTCATGCTGCTCTGGTCTAACCCCCAGCACTCACCCCTTTAGCCCAAGGCACGTGTAAGTGCTTGTTCTTGGTCATGCTGCTCTGGTCTAGTCTCTTCTGTATCTCGACGAGGCGTTGATGGTTCTCCTCTTCTCGCACGGCGGCGTTCACGGACGCCAGGATCTCCTTGGCTCGGTCCAAGGACCTGCTGATCTGCTCGTACTCCTCGGGGTACTTGTCGAGGTCCGTGTACCCCAGCAGCGACTCCAGCAGCAGCGGGTACTGTACAAGTACGAGTATTAATGCAAGTTTCTCTCAACGGGAACAACGCATTAAACATATATAATTAGCCAACAAATTATTAATAGTCATGGTCCTTTGTACCACTGCCGGAGCACTATTAAAATTTTTTTTTTCAAAGAATAGAGATAAAATGCAATCTTTAATGTTAATTTTTCGTTAAATTATTTACTGTCAAGTCCTGTGTATCCTTGCAGACTCTAGCAGCAGTGACCTTTGATAGTCTTTGGAAGCCAGCAGGCAACATGTCTTTGAGCTGCAGCCTGCGACAGTAAGGATGCTTACCTTTGATAGTCTTTGGAAGCCAACTGGCGCAACTACCTCGCCTCCACCTCCATAACCGACTGCGGTGGAGGTGCAGTCTTCTAAAACCAATTAGAATTCGAGACGGAGAACTAGCAGCATACACTCTGGAAAATGTCATGTATGTGTTATCTACCTACTTTCTGTGCGTAGCACGGATACGCCCTTTTGCAGTGTCAAACTGGGTCAAAATGACAACAACAAAAAAAAAACTGTCAAGTATTTTTGGCCAAAATCTCATTCAGTTCTGTGAGTGTAGCGTTGGAAGCCCACAAGCAGCAGCGGTAGCACGGATGACTCATCGTCCCGCCACGCACCAGTCAACGGGCGTCATTGATTCAGTTCAGTGAGACGTTCTAGCGACACGCAGACTGAGGCAGTGAGTCGCACTCTCAACAACGTTTATAGTGAAGGTCATCGTTAATTCGTCATAATGATGGCTATTTACTCACTAAAAAGTATACATTAACAAAACAATACTAGAGTCACGATAAAGAACTGACATCTTGCGAGCAACGGTCGACCTGTTCATCAGAGCATTTAAAGTAATGGTCAATAGAATGCGGGTTCTTTATTCACATAGAAGTTAAAAATAACAAAACTATACTGAAATCATGATTAACAACTGCCAAAATAAAACGTTCCGAGCACTGATCTACGGTAAGCGGCAAAGATGGTACGTAGAAAAGGACCAATGTGGTACATTACAGTACAAGACTTGGAACGACGTAATGTTAGCGTAAAAATTTAGCTAATATTGCGTAATATTAAAATTTTAATTAGCAGCCACTATACGCACTCAAAAAAATGAATGGGTAATCTTGTCCAAAATAGCAACAAACTTCATTTCCCACAACACAAGCATGAAGAGCGGACGTAGCACTGATAACGCCCTGTTGCTGGGTAAACTGAATTGGTATTATCCACACAAGGGGAAAAATGCATCACTATTTGGATAATACCTCGCTGGTTTCTCTGAGTGCACGAGCAAGCATGACTCATGCACGTACTAAGCGAGGCTGGCGTCTTGCTGTTCCTATCATCCTCTCAGTACTCCTTCACAGCACCGGAAGTCTCGACCACATCGTTTTCTCAAACCACCGACCATTACGTAGGAGCAATACAGTTTATACGAATAGTTTTAGTTATCTTTATCTATATAACACGTATCTGCTGCATATACTTAGTATGTAAAAATACGCAGCGCCTAAATGCACGCATACAACTTTGTCCTTATACTTGAAACGTATAACGTACAGCACGTTTTTGTTGTGTATACGTATGAAAAACCTCGACCTATTAAGATTTCCCAGGACATATTTTAGAATCTGAAGCCCGTTACCATGAATGCTAAAACATTTGATTTACAACTCCGTAAAGCATAAGCCATCACGAACTATTCACAACTCCTAAGTGCATTGCAATGCCTTCGATGCTATCAAGCATGTGCCTCGAGATATCATTCGTAAAAAGTCGGGTTCAAAAGTTAAGTTGGATTAACCTGCCCGGTTAAAGAGCCACGTCGAGCTTAGCCTGTAGGATCCTATCACTCATCAAAATTAATGTGTCAAATGGTCCAAACACACTTTAATATCCTCAATATGAGTAATAAAGAGCGGACGTAGCACTGATGCGCCCTTTTGTCATGCCAAACTGAGTCAGGATGACTCATATAATTGAAAAAAGTATTTTGATTTTTTGACCAAGTCTCACTCATTTCTGTGAGTGTATATTGCTATCTAAAACGATAGCGGGACGACAAGTAGTTCGCAGGCAAGAGAGGTTATGTTCTCAGAGCAGCAGGCGAGTTTCACCGCTCTGATTCAGATAACGATATCAGGTCAAGAAAGCTCGGTTCTCATCAATAGATTAAAGGTTCATTAGAGACACCTTCGCTGTACAAGATACTGCTAACGAGGAGGTGTACTTATAACTTGAGTGCAGATAACAGGAACGTCTTATCAGTTAGTGAAACGCAGATTATGTATAACCTCTTTTTAATTAGTGCAAAGTGCGATTCTTGCAAAGAAGTTAGCCACAAACGCGAAATGAAGATAATCACCCAAGATAACAAAGATAAAGAAATATCCATATCGAACAGCAGCAAAAAGTTTAAACGAAATCTTTTACGCGTTCTGTCCGAGATAACGTACACAGAAAAAGGAATGGGTAATTTGTCCAAATAGTGATACTTTCTGCACGTAGCACTGACACCCTTTTGGGCAAACTGAATCGTAATGACCCACACAGACAAAAAAATGCTACGCTATTTGGATAAAGCTTCCCTCATTTCTCTGTGTGTATGAGCTAGTGATGGATTTCCCGTATATTATTCGGCTGCAATATCAGTGTACTGACTGGTAAAAATCATATCACATCGGGTAATTATAACCTTTATTCGGTTATAATTAACGAAGTCACTGTCAACAGTTCCGACATCAAAGGTAGACGAGATTGTCACATTCCGCTCTTACACAGGGACATCCTGTTAAAAAGCTAATTAAGCTGCTTGAAATTCATACACACCTGCATTGAAAACCACTATAATTTATAATGACGGATCATTTTTTACATTCTAATAACACAGTTCACCGAACAGAAACAATTTATTGATGTTTCAACCTCAGTTCATTAGTAAGCTCAGACAAAAATGTAGTTTTATTTAGAAATTAGCGCTCAACTTTAACTAATTGGTAGCTTTAGTTACTAGAAGCTCATCCACCGTGTAAAAAGGGTTTAGCTTTCGATTTCTGACGATAACTCTGGCTACCAGACCTTCAAGTGCAAATGACGGTTAAGACAGTTGATGTGTCCTGAGAAAAAGGGCTAATTAGTTAATTATTTGTATTATAACCTATGTCACTCAAATTAATTGCTACCTAACTCTACCATACGCAGAATAAGCGTATAAATAAGCGGCGAGTGTTCGAGGAAGAAAAAATTTCAAGGGTACGAGGAAGCTCCCGCGGGGATGTTTACAACTCCTGTAAACACGACAATCTCTTTTGCAAACGAGTCACGCGGTTTAGAGGCCGCCGATATATACAAACATGTGTGAAATACAAAACCCTTGATTAGCACGAGGAATGACAAGCATAATGCTATACAAAAACGAAATTTTGAATCGGATGGTTTGGACGAGATTGGTAATTATAAAAAGAATGTCACGGTGATGGTTATGATTAAAACAAATTTCGAATCTTATGAGGTATCAATTTATAAAAATCTGTCCCAACATCTCTGTATATTAACAACATAATAAATGTACAAAAACACATCATGATTCAATGGACGTTTCTAGCTCTAGCGTTGCTATCGTACACAAAACTCAAAAAAAATACAAGGATAATATTGTCAAAACACTTTCAGCACGTAACTAATAGCTCCTACACGCCCTTTTGCCTGGCCTTAATTGGCCTGGATGACTTACGCGAGGACAAAAAGTGCATGACTAGTAGGACAAAGTCTAAATCATTTCTCTGAGTGAAAATGACTGCTGATACACAGTTTACAAAGATGACTAAACGTACACAGTATACAGAGATGACTGGCGGTACACAGTACACAGACAGGATTAGTACTGACGTACTAAGAACAGCCACGGCCAACAGAGCTCCAGCGGTCGATATCCGGCCTAGCGATAAGCACGTGTGCTCAAAACTGTACTACACCAACACGCACACGAAGCAGCATAATACACACAAAGAGATACACACGGAGAACACATTCTATGCTACACAACTCGCTGCACAGTACCTGCATCAATACAAAACACAGTCATACACAAGTTGTAAATTCGACCAACTACCCCAAAAAATTCGACTAACTGCACCATCTATATAGAGAGAGCGAACAAATGTCTCTTTATAGCACTATCTGATTTAAAGAGCAAGCCTATAGTAGAGAAGTACTCAAGAGCCCGCACAAATACAGAGATAGGGGCATCGCTGCTTATTATCCTATAGGGGAGCCGTGTCTATTTAGATGAAAGACCAGCTAGGTCTAGCTGAGTTGAGAACCAGCGCGGTCTAGCTGAGTTAAGAACCAGCGAGGTATAGCTGGTTCTCAACTCAACATCGTCTCGTCCCATATATTTGACCATCCAATTATTTATAAGCATCATTCACAGTTCGGCATCTCTGTCAATGATCGTTCGGCATAGTTGATCGTTCCTTATAGTGTGTACCTTAATGTCTTAAAGTATACGGCGTTGTGCCTTATTCAAGACGCAAGAAATGCATATATGTTAATATAAAATATTAAAATACGGATATGTATACGTTAATATTTAACATACTTATCCTTGAAAACCAATCCGAGCCTTATGATTAGTGCGCCCAAATTCATAATTAGACATGGAGGACACCGTATGGTCTGACTGTTGAAACGCACTGCAGACAGCGGGGTGTGTCGGTTTACTAGATCAACAGATTAACTTTATTGAAATAACAAAATCTTCAGGATAATTCATGCAACAGCACAATAATAATTAGATATGCTGTTAACCAGGAGAATTTGATTGATTCTTCCTCCTTTATTGCATCATATTCAACAGAGTACACGCATGCATAGTTCGAGACAATTATAATTGACACCAATCGACAGAGTGACTTTAAAATCAGCTAATACACTAAACACACCGACGAAAATAACAAGACCATAATCAAACTGTCTTTATGGGATTGTTTAAAACAACATAAGTGGTTTTTTGAAGCAGCAATCTGTTATTTAGGCAGCACGACAAATTGTTTCACATTTGTACACGAAGCACAATTCCTTTCGTTTGATTCTAAATTACCATGGAAAAGCACACATTATTTTTAATTTGAACACAACCACATCAGCGTATTTGGTTTGACAACAGGGCGACCGCGCAGCAAAGTTCACTCCAGGGAAACAAACGCACGCACTGCAGCGCGACGGAGCTTTGCGGTTGTCTGCGTACGCGCGCTGGACTGCAACTGACGCTCACCACAG